TCTTATTCTGTTACCTTTAAAATATACTAGGAATAGAAAATAAAAATGAAAAAAATTCTAGTCACATATAAGTCTTTGACAACAGAACTCAGTATTAAAAATTAAATTAAATTTAAATATGACATAGATAACTCTGGTGGTTTAGTGGTAAGGAGTTGCACTGCCTGCCTAAAGGCACACAGTTCAAATCCACAACTTGTCCATAGAAGAAAGATGGGTAATCTCCTCCTGAACAATTTTTCTGCCTCTGAAAACACAGGGAAGGGTTAGTTATTAATAGTTTCCGACCTAATGAACAAGGCAACAAGAAGATAATTATGATAGAGGTACAGTTCTCTTTAACTATGTGCCTTGACAGACATCCTGTGGTATTTGCCATATGTGTAGTACCTACTTTTCCATACACTAGGGGGAGATATAACATAATTACTTCAAGGGGTAAGGGGCATATTTATGTCTGAGGATGACTGCATAAAATTGCCACTTCTTAGGCAGAATTATCTTTCTCTTACTACTTACTTTACGTAACAGTACATCTAATAATCAATAATCTATAATTCACTCCCCTGAGAATTTATTTTCATTCTTTTTTTGGTGCCTTTTACAGTATTTCTACCATTTATATTTTAAAATTTTACTCTAAAGATTAAACAATGCCATTTCAGGTAAGAAAATATAATATATAAAAACAGTTTTTATATCTTCCATTGTGCTTCTTTTCCATCTTGTCCACCGAAGGGAAATTATGTACTGCCCTGCTTTTCCCCATTTTGATACAGTGCTAATACGTGGGTTTTGATACCGGTTGTTTTTGAGGTCTTTTAGTGCTATGCTTCCTAAAAGTTGTAGTGAAACTTGTAACTCAACCATGATTCAAATAATATTTTTGCACATTGATCAATTCTTCATGTTAGAAATCAAAACCCAAACACTCTGTCATCAAGTCAATTCAGGGTCATAGCAGCCATGCAGGAAATATCAGCAAAAATGAAATATAGTAAATAATTTCCAATAGCTAGAAATAAACAAAGAAAACTAAAGAAGTACTCAATATATCCTTTATATTTAAAACTATCATCATTCAGGTAAGGATATTGTGTTATTGTGTGATTTCTTGAATTAGTAATTAATGCCTTAAAAAGCCACAGGCTTTTGTTTTTTAAGTAATGATTTACAAATGAATGTATAATTTCAACTCTTTGTTTCAATTCGTTGCTGATTTTTAAAGCTTCAAACTCTCAGCTACTAACCTGTACTAACCTCATACAAGGAAGAGAAAAGTGGAATTTCACAAGCAGTAGGCAATCCACTCAGCAAAACAACTCAGGTTTCTTCAAAGCTCTAGCTCTCTGCTCAGCAATGGGATCAGTATATGCATGACAAACTATCTATTTAGAAAATTCAAAGACATTTTAGGATTTGAAGATCTGGCTGTAAAGCTTTCCTCTTTGAATTTTTAGTCTGTTAAAGAGAGACTTTTAAAGGGATGGTAAATTTTGGATCCAGGTCAGACTGCAAATTCAGACTATAGGTTATCTCATTGAATCCTCTGGGAAATAAATAGCTCTTTTACTTGAATCTTTAAGCAATTATCCCAACAATAATCTTCTGAACTTTCTTGTAATTGTTCTGGATTTGATTTTCTTTGAATCTTGAATGATTCATGTTACAGACTTGTAAGTTAGTCATTCACAATTTATAAATGGCAACTTAACTTTAGTATTTATGAATTGTGATCAATACTGTAGCAATCAAAACACTCACCTTTTCTATTTCAATACTGCATTTTTTCCTTTTTGTTCTTAACTCTTTCCGAGCAAGGCTGGATCACAAGCAAACCAGTCCTGCCTTGTGGATGGTTGTGAGAATTGTTGTGAAAAATCTCTGAGATTAGAATCTGAAATAGAAGATTTATATGTTTCAAAAGTTCTCTCTCAGATGAAAGCGTGTGGATGTGTGTGTGTGTGCGCGTGTGTGCGTGTGTGTGCGCGCGTGTGTGTGTGTGTGTGTGTGTGTGTGTGGCAGAGGGAGAGACACTGACTACAAATCATGTCTATATCTTGTGCATTACTATGATGGATCGAAAGCCAGAATTCCCACTGGTAGTCTTCACGTTTTAAAGTTCAGCTTCTATGCTTAGGAGCTTTGGCAAAATGTAGTTATCAATGGTCTTAAGGGAATTAATATTCAAATTATAATGAGAAAGCTTAACAACAAGAAAGGAGGTGGAACAATCCACATAAACTGTATTTTTGATGGGTGTCTGGTTTAAATCGAATCTAGGCTTAGTCGGAGGTTTTTGAAAATGATAGACCCCTGAATATTATTTGGCCAGGTCTGAGTTTTAAGACACTACAAGGCCTGCATTGAGAGTGAGCACTTCTCTGTAAGAGAGAGAGTTTTCCCTCACAGGAACCACTGCCTTCTCTTTCATCTTGACTTCTGTTTCATAGAGCTTCAGTTTTTCTTCCGAAACACTGTCATAATCATGGGACTTTTCGCGTATGGATGCCTGGAAACAGCTGATCCCCCCCCCCGCCCAGAGGATCAAAAAAGTTACATATTGATAGCTGTTACTAGTGATGTGTTTGCACCACCGTGAACAGAGAAGTGGGGGGGGGGGCGCGGGTTCTCGCATCCATGCAGTCACACTCACAGAAATATGCATCCTGCTTCCAGAAAACATAACCACCCCCTCACACACACACACACACACACACACGCCCGTGAGCACTCGCGCGTACACACTCATCCCCAGGGCCCACGAGGAACCAGGATCGGCAGCTCCCTTGGCGTGGGTGTGTGTAAGGCTAGTGAGTAGTACCTTCCAGAGGAGTGTGGGGTGAATGTGTGTGTGTGTGCCTAAGAGAAACCCATCAGAAAGACTGCAGCTACCTGTATTAGCACGTTGCATTGCAATTCTCCTTCCTGGGAGTAAGTCATGAAAAATTTAATCGATGCCAAACTTTTATTTTTTCATTCTCTTTTTTTTCCTGAGGAAGACTGTGGAGCAGGATCTCTTGCTAACTGAATGCCTGCGACCCTGCATTGAGGCCTCGGGCACCGTCGCCCCTGCGAGCTGGGCTTGGCAAGCAGTGGTTCTCTCGCAAAGAACTGATCTAATCATTGACTCCAAAACGCTGGGGCCCCAGGCCCCACCCCCGCCAGCCTCTTCTCCACCTCCTATTGGGCGGAGGCCGGGGAGGCAGGGCTTTCTTCCTCGCTCGGATTGGCTGGCAGGGAATCAGTATCAATGTTTAAGCGGCGGCGTGAGGTGAATAGAGTCAGTCGGCAAGAGGCGCTGGGGAGAGACCGGGGACAGCGAGCCGGCGGATGCGGCAGCGGCGCAGGGCGGCTGGGGAGTCGCTACTCCAACTGTTGAATTGCATTTTCACCTTTCATTTCCTCCGATGCTTTTGCTTATGGAGATGGATTTATTTGCTTTGAAATCGACACATCTTTCGCAGACTGTGGGCTGATCCTGACAGGCACCAGATTGACAGAGACATCCGTGACAGAGGAGGAAAGGGGGAGAGGAGGAAACAAAAAATAACCACCTAAAACCAACACACACATACTCTCCAAAACCAGACTGCACAATTAACTCTGCACATCGGGGCTGGACTTTGTGCTTAGAGAACAGAGAGGAAATCCTTGAACTGTAATGCGGAACTAAGCTGTGGACAGTCGTTGGAAACCTTATTCTTTTTTACCCAAGACTCTGAAATATTTGGGGTGCCTCACGCCTAACGACGAGAAAAGATTTTTTTTTTAAATAAAAACAAACAAACAAACAAACAAATACACCTAGCAAAGCAGACGCCTTGCTTTCCAGACCCCCGGAATCCGGCAGAAAGAGGTAGAGTAAAAGTGCTGCTGGATCCAGCTCCTCCTCCCCTCCCTCCTCTCTCTCTCTCTCCCTTTTCCCTTTTTTGCTCCGAAACATGAATCCGCTATTCCTTTCTCTTGAGTGAGTCACAGAGAGCCGCAACTAATGTCTGTGAAGGGAATACCAGGAGTGGAGGGTGAATGCGATTCGTTCCGCTGCTTCTGACTCCCCCCGAGCACGGAACACCTGCATTTCTGGATGTGTCATCCCCGTTTGTGCAGGCGCCTCGAGACCCCGACATCATGTGCAGTCAGACCTGTGCCTAACGCTCCTTGGAGGCGGCTCCCCGAGGTGGGTGCCCCTGCCCGGACCCCCGCGGCCGCAGCTCCTCGCCCCTGCCCTCCCCACGCCAGCCAGCGAGACTGCAGAACGCATCACGCTGTGTGCTCCATCCAGCCCACTCCTACTATTAAAAAAAAAAAAAAGAATTGAAACAAACAAACAAACAAAAAATAAAACACCGCACTTCATTCGCCTCAAATATTCACCACTTTTATTCCTCGCCAAGGTTTTCCTTCCTCGATGAAGAGGACTGGAAGGCAGGGCCATTGGCAGGAGATGCTGAATAGAAAAAGAAAGGAGGCACTTGACAGCCCAGCCCTGTGAATGCAGAGACTGTTTCCCTTCTAGCGAGAGACAGGGCGAGTGTGTGTGCGAGAACGGGGCGCGGGGGCCCCCTCCTTTTCATTCCGCCTCCCCCTCCCCCTTCAGATCGGCACGTCCAACCATGAGTTGCCTGTTGATTTGCTTTCGCCAGAGAAGCAAAGCAAACTAGAATTAAACTGCCACGGGAGAGGTCCTCGCTGGCGGAGAGAGGATGGGATGGTAGCGGCGGCCACAGGCTGGGCGTAGAGCAACCCGCGAGCTTGTGCTCTCCAAACAGGGGCGGCGAGCTCGGTGATGAGGAGTCCCCCCTCCCTGTAGACTCTCCCCGCAATAGCTGATCAGACCGTGGCTTGCTGGATTTCGGGGGAGAGCATTTTCTGAGGAAGAGAGGGCGGAGCTTGGTGGAGGGAGGAAACTACAAATCGGGACACTAGTTCTTTGCGCTGCATTTCCTCCCCTCCCTTTGGCTGCTCGGAAGGGAGAGAGAAAAATACGCTTGGCTGGGAGATGCAGTCCGTCGCCGCCGCCGCTGCCGCCGCCAGTAATGCAAGATTAGATCTCTAAATGCAGCAAAACACTGCCTGAAAACAGACCAGCCCGCGCCGCGAGCAGACATTGCACTGGGCGCCAGAGAAGCTTCACAGTCTATCAGTGACTCCCTTCGCTGCTCCCGGTCCCCGTCCATTTCATCACGAGAGACGAGTAACAAGTAAGGATTTCACTTTCCGATTTGCCTGGAGACACACCTCCCCGCGCCCTCCCCCACCCGATGTGAAGACTGTTCCGGAGGCTGCAGGCGGGAGTGGATTTGCGGCGCCCAGTGGGAGCGAGCAAAACCTACAGATTCCTTAGCTCATTATCATCCCTCCCAGACGCGATTTCCTTCTTATCGCCAGCCTCATCGCTCAAGTTTTCGCCGCCCGAAGTCCGGTGCGAGAGACACAAAGCCCCCGGCCAGACCCTTGACGCAGGGTGCCACCGGCTCGTTCCGCGTCCCTGCGGCTCCGCCAGCGGCACTGCTGCTCGCCCAGTGCGGATGCTGTAGATCAACAGGTTCGGGAACTTAAGCAGAATCGGCAGAGCCCGCCGGGTGCCGCAGCCGTAGCGCGGAGGCAAGAAGGAACCCACCAGGCAGCGGCTCGCGTCGCAGGCGCGCGCGGCGCCAGGGCTCCAGGCTGGCGCGCACCCACCGATTCAGCCCTCCCGTCCGGCTCCTCCTGCCCCCACCCCACTGGTCTGGGATGTACCTCTCCATCTGTTGCTGCTTTCTTCTCTGGGCCCCTGTGCTGACACTCAAAAACCTTAACTACTCGGTGCCAGAGGAGCAAGGGGCAGGCACCGTGATCGGCAACATTGGCAAAGATGCTCGGCTCCAGCCTGGGACTCCTCCCGCGGAGCGCGGCGGCGGCGGCGGCGGCGGCGGGCGCAGCAAATCGGGCAGTTACCGAGTGCTGGAAAACTCGGCGCCGCACCTGCTGGACGTGGACGTCGACAGCGGGCTTCTCTACACCAAGCAGCGCATCGACCGCGAATCCCTCTGCCGCCACAACGCCAAGTGCCAGCTGTCCCTGGAGGTGTTCGCTAATGACAAAGAGATCTGCATGATCAAGGTGGAGATCCAGGATATCAACGACAATGCACCTTCCTTTCCCTCGGACCAGATTGAGATGGACATCTCGGAGAACGCGGCCCCGGGTACGCGCTTCCCTCTCACCAGTGCGCACGACCCCGACGCGGGCGAGAACGGGCTCCGCACCTACTTGCTCACCCGCGACGACCACGGTCTTTTCGCGCTGGACGTCAAGTCCCGCGGCGACGGCACCAAGTTTCCGGAGCTGGTCATCCAGAAGGCCCTGGACCGCGAGCAGCAAAACCACCACACGCTCGTGTTGACTGCCCTGGATGGAGGCGAGCCGCCTCGCTCGGCCACCGTGCAGATCAACGTCAAGGTGGTCGACTCCAACGACAACAGCCCGGTCTTTGAGGCGCCCTCCTACATCGTGGAGCTGCCTGAAAACGCCCCTCTGGGCACCGTGGTCATCGACCTGAACGCCACTGACGCGGATGAAGGTCCCAATGGTGAAGTGCTCTATTCCTTCAGCAGCTACGTGCCCGACCGCGTGCGGGAGCTCTTCTCCATTGACCCCAAGACAGGCCTGATCCGTGTCAAGGGCAATTTGGACTACGAGGAAAATGGGATGCTGGAAATCGATGTGCAAGCCAGAGACCTGGGCCCCAACCCCATCCCAGCCCACTGCAAAGTCACGGTCAAGCTCATTGACCGCAACGACAACGCGCCATCCATCGGTTTCGTGTCCGTGCGCCAGGGGGCGCTGAGCGAGGCCGCCCCTCCGGGCACCGTCATCGCCCTGGTGAGGGTCACCGACCGGGACTCGGGCAAGAATGGGCAGCTGCAGTGCCGAGTCCTGGGCGGAGGGGGCGCGGGCGGCGCGGGCCTGGGGGCGCCTGGGGGCTCTGTCCCCTTCAAGCTGGAGGAGAACTATGATAACTTCTACACCGTGGTGACAGACCGCCCGCTGGACCGAGAGACGCAGGACGAATATAATGTGACGATCGTGGCGCGCGATGGGGGCTCGCCCCCCCTCAATTCCACGAAGTCGTTCGCAGTCAAGATCCTGGACGAGAATGATAACCCGCCTCGCTTCACCAAGGGGCTGTACGTGCTGCAAGTGCATGAGAACAACATCCCAGGAGAGTACCTGGGCTCCGTGCTCGCCCAGGACCCGGACTTGGGACAGAACGGCACAGTGTCCTACTCCATCCTGCCCTCGCACATCGGCGACGTGTCCATTTACACTTACGTGTCCGTGAACCCCACCAACGGGGCCATCTACGCCCTGCGCTCCTTTAACTACGAGCAGACCAAAGCTTTTGAGTTCAAAGTGCTGGCTAAGGACTCGGGGGCTCCCGCCCACCTGGAGAGCAATGCCACGGTGCGGGTGATGGTGCTGGACGTGAATGACAACGCGCCCGTGATCGTGTTGCCCACGCTGCAGAACGACACGGCCGAGCTGCAGGTGCCGCGCAACGCTGGCCTGGGCTACCTGGTGAGCACCGTGCGCGCCCTGGACAGCGACTTTGGCGAGAGTGGGCGCCTCACCTATGAAATCGTGGATGGCAACGACGACCACCTGTTTGAGATCGACCCGTCCAGCGGCGAGATCCGCACGCTGCACCCCTTCTGGGAGGACGTGACCCCCGTGGTGGAGCTGGTGGTCAAGGTGACCGACCATGGCAAGCCCACCTTGTCTGCGGTGGCCAAGCTCATCATCAGGTCGGTGAGCGGCTCGCTGCCGGAGGGCGTGCCCCGGGTGAATGGCGAGCAGCAGCACTGGGACATGTCACTCCCCCTCATCGTGACTCTCAGCACCATCTCCATCATCCTCCTAGCGGCCATGATCACCATCGCGGTCAAATGCAAGCGCGAGAACAAGGAGATCCGCACTTATAACTGCCGCATCGCCGAGTACAGCCACCCGCAGCTGGGCGGGGGCAAAGGCAAGAAGAAGAAAATCAATAAAAATGATATCATGCTGGTCCAGAGCGAGGTGGAGGAGAGGAACGCCATGAACGTCATGAACGTGGTGAGCAGTCCCTCCCTGGCCACCTCCCCTATGTACTTTGACTACCAGACCCGCCTGCCCCTCAGCTCACCCAGGTCAGAGGTGATGTATCTCAAACCGGCTTCCAACAACCTGACTGTCCCCCAGGGGCACGCGGGCTGCCATACCAGCTTCACTGGACAAGGGACTAATTCGAGCGAGACCCCAGCCACTCGGATGTCCATAATTCAGGTAGGAGGCTTTTAGCATAACTGGGACTTCACTTAACAGTTGGTTTTATAACGTTTTCCTGATACTTTCGGAACAGAACAAGCCACACTGCCAGTAGCAGTCACAGGGGATTTAAAAAAAAAAAAAATTATAATGTCTTATACTTTTGGCACTGATTATATATACTATTCTATACATAACTTTTCCTACGTAAATAGTCTAAAATCTACAAGATGTAAATGGGCTTGTTTCTGTTGCATTTTTAAAGTTTATTTCTCTTAGGTTTATTTGTTGTTTTTTTTTGTTTTTTGGGGTTTTTTTTTTGGCAGTGTGCAGTGCTCAGAATTTTTGTAAGTGGGTTTTTGTTTCCATAACAGAAGGTTTCCAAAATAGAAAACATTTTGTCTTTTTTTTTTTAACTAGGCTAAAGTTTTTAAAAACAGTTAACAGACTTGTAGAGAAATAGTTAAAACTTTTTATCCTGAAGAACAAAGTCATAAACTGTTAGAATTCCAGAGCCAGACTCAAATACAACTTTTCCCCATTGAGAAGTTTTCTATTTTAGAGTATGAATCTCATTGATTCTTCAGCTTGAAATTGCATTCCACTTGGTCTGTACAGTAGCTTGCACTCTTGACAAGTTCTTGAAGACATTTTAAAAGTTCAAGTTAATATAGGCTGGGAATGACTGAAACTACCTTGAAAAGTTTGCTCTGTCTCCTGTGTTTTTTCTTGGTCTGCTGCTTAGAGCCATTGAAGAATGAATAGGCTACACTAGAAGGGTCATAAACTTGAAAATAAGAAGCAAAGTTATTGTGCCAAAAAGATTTCCAGAGCCCATCTAATGTACATATTGGTGTTTTTACTATACCTAAGTGTTTTATATTTGTATATAAAGCATAACTTAAAATATTTGTATATTTCATAAAGTTACGTCTCTAGTCCACATAAACACAAGGGTCTGATAACAACAGATGACTACTGTGTCTGGTCATGGCCCAGTTTCTTTTCTTCACTATTGAGATGTGTATAATATCTATACACACACAAACAACTTAATTCTTACTTATTATAAAGTTGTGTTGCTACAAATTATACAACTGGATGAACAGTACTTGAAATTAAAAATGGAGCTTAATTAAAAGTGACATTTAAGGAGGAAGATTAGTTTGAGGCAAATGAAAAGCATTTGTTAATCTTTTCATGCTTTGAAAAGCAAAATACCTTTCCATGATACTTGAATCAATAACATTTTTTACTATTAAAATTAAGTGAAGCTATTTACTATTTCATCATATGTTTTCTAAAATTTGATAAGGACAGCAAGCCCTAAAATGTAGCAAGCTGTATTTATTTTCCTTTATTTATGTAGCATCCTTGTAAGATAGACTCTTATAGTTGGTACTACTAAATACTGAAGTACCAACTGTAATATTAAATCCCCGTAAGTGAAGCACTCACTTTTAAAAAATATAAACAGTGTTCATTGTACATTAATAATCATTATTTTTGAGGTCTATATAAAACTGAAGAAGAAATCCTTTAAAAAACAAGTGTGGTGTCTATAAAATGGGTGACTGTAAAGGTGGTGTTTATGACAATATCTCTGTAGAGAGATATTAAAATGTATATTTATAGATACTATTGTAGTCATTTTATAAATATACTCTTGTTCTATACATTTCTTCTATCTTTATCTTTGACAGTTTTAAAGAAGTCACAGAGGGGTAAATGTTTAATCTTTCACTTCACAAGATAAGAGTTTTATTTATGTTGCAGGAAAAATAATCAGTTGGAGCAGTAGAATTCTCAGCAGGTCTAATTCTTTGGCCACACCATTTAGGAAAATTCTGGAGTGTATAGCAGGTTTGGGAAGGGGAGGATAGGAATACCTGTACTGTGTGGTCACCACACAGCCCTTGAGACTGATCATTACTGAAAGCTTGGCAATGATGCTATTATACTCTTGATGATACCTTTCATTAGCAGGAAAACTTAAGCCAAAATAAATAATGCATATAGTTTACAGAAATTTAAATAGAAAGTAAAAGACAAAGTTTATGTAGTCTCCTACCCAGTTCTTTCTTCTAGAATCTTACCTTATCCATAGAAACATATCATAATGCATTTTAGTCTTAAATCCCTAAAATTTTTGTTCAGAGTGGTTTTCCATGTTGTTTCTGCTCTGGAAATGTAACCAATAGAATCTGTTAAATCAGTCTCTATTTCCTATTGAAATTTGTCAGTCCTATCTGCCTTGTGAACTCTTAATATGCGAATTTCCTAATAAAATGTATTAAGTTTGTCCCAGTTCTTATTTTACTTTTTGGTAGAAGAAAGTAAATTGACTACACTGACTGTCTTTAAAAAAAAAAAAAAAAGCAAACAAACTAGTGGGCTACAGTGCTTAATCATGCTTCAATTAATGCATTCAGTTATCCCATAATCTTGTTTCAGGTGTATTTGTTAACATATGTAGTTAGCAAGGCTTATGAGAACCTATAGTATTAATTTCACATCTATTTCTGAGTTAGAATTCTGATACTTAAAGTGCATTTGAAACAGCAGGTACTGGACATGTATTCTCTCTTCACCCCCAGCCCGACCCCCAGCATCTTGTGTGCTGTGTAGAAGATGCATAATATATTTATACTGATTAAATGAAAATAATTTTATAATTGTTTTGAGATTTACTGGTACAAAGTACTGTCGTCGTGGAATTTAATAATAGCATAATTTAACAAAGGATCACAAGATCGCTCAAGTTAAGATAGTTTGCATAACAATTTTATTTAGTTCATAGGATGTGTAATGCTAAGTGAGGTTAAGATAAGCAGTTTCTCTTTGTATCAAGAATACTTTTATTGAATATAGGTGCTGAGTAATCACTTAAGATGGTATTGAAAAAAATTAATTTTGAAAAGAAATTCTATTTCAGATTTTTTCATTTCTCCAAGTTTACCTACAAAACAACATAGTTTTAAAATAGCAACAGTATTGTGTGAAAATCACAGTACAAAATAGTTATTCATTAAATAGTTTATTCATTTTAAGGCCATGAATTATTTCAAAGCTTATAAGCATAGTTTTTGTGGTATATAAGGCAATGTTTACACAAATTTATAAAATAATTCATAGTAAGTTAAATTTATATGAGAAGTATTTCATATGTCAATAATAGAGTCTGAAATAAGACTGTACATCAAGAATAAATGTGACTCTTTGGCATATATAGAATTCATTGTCAGGTCTCAAGGTAACTTCTCCACAGGTGTTTTCCATGGAGGCTGAAACTTCTAACTGGTGAGAGCATTTCCATTTTTGTTAGCATATCTCTGCTTTGAGATATTGTTATATCACTACTGTAAGTCACTTTAATGTGCACTCACTGCATAAAATATAGTGAGCCAGCAGAATACAAACTATTAAAATAAAATTTTAAAGGAAATACGTTCTCAGTGTTTTACAGTACAGTTTCAGAAGATTCACATTTGGGTTGACTTTAGAGCCTTTACACTAAGACAATATGATATCTTTTTTGATATATGTTCATGACCTTTTCAGTAAAAGGGAAATAAGCACACCACAAGTTCCTAAAATCAATTCAAATACATAAAAATGAGATTGAGGCCTTAGATGACCAGAGTGTCATATATTATGTAAACAGTTAAATCAGTGAGAAAGAGTGAAAAGGCTAAAGGGGAAAATCTTATCTTTTACTATTAACATAATCCATTTTCTGTCTTTTTACCTTATGTTTCTTATAAAAGAATCTTGAATATAGGCATTCAATAAGATAAGTTCCCAAGGTCAAGCTCTTCAAAACTTTGCACTCTAATTTGTTGATGATATCAGTAACAAATCAAAAGTATTTCAACTATTTATTTATGACCTTAGGCATGTTTTGCTGCAGTTTTACTTATAAAATGGCATTAATTAGCGCAGTTATATGTACTCGTTTCCATAACCTTATAAAGATCTTAATTATGGGGTTTGATGGACTGTGTAGAAGGAAAGGACTCTTATTATGGTGTCTCCAGGAGTGTTTCTTTCTTTCTTTCTTTTTTCATTTGTACTTTTTCCTGAAGATTTTCTAAAGGTCTTAAGTTGATTTGTACTTTAAATGAACTTGAGTGAACAATAAACATTTCTCTGCTATGTATTTTTTGAAGGTAACACAAGTATGCTGAACAAGCTTAATTTTAAAGATAAATAGCTATTCAGGTACTTTGAGTTTCTTAGGAAAACATTTAAATAAATCCATATAATTATTACTACAATTGTTACATTCATTCTTAATTTTATATTATGCTATGAAAATTACCAACTTCGATATAATTGTGAACATTTTTAGTTTACAATAATGAGTACATAAAAATAATTGTTAGTTATATGTGCTAGACAGCAGAAAATTTCATTTTAGTATTTGATATGGTTACCATTCAAAAGATAAAGATTTCCTTTATATTTTCAATGTACTTTCCAATATAACAGCTAGGTAGTACTTTATCTTTGGACTGAGATGATATTTTATTGATCTCTAAAAAATATAAAAAATAAATTAACTCAGTGAGGTCTATAAGTTTATTAAAATTATAGATAAGTTTACACATAGACTTTGAAATTTTATTCTTGACATATTTATATTTTTAAAGTTCTACATGTTACTAAAGAGCTATGTCATAGAAAAATAAAAATATACCTGAAATCATTAGTGTGAATACATGAACATGCCCTTTAGGTCAAAGAAAAATAGTCACATACTCTAAAATATTATCTATTACCTTTGAATGTGTTGTTGAAACCATAGGGGAAAAATGCATACTTTTTGAACATTTTCTCCATAAAGTTTATAATATTAATATGTGTTATTTATATTTTTACAGTATATTGTCTTAACTGTATAAGAGGCAAAAATAAAAGTTATTTTTAAAAAAAATCCCAAATATTTTCTTTTCTAAACGACTAAAATTTATTTGTATTTTAAGAGTAAATGTCCTAAAAATCTTCAGATTAAATAA